ATATTCCTTCTCTTTAAACATTAATATTTTATACTAGGTTTAATATTTTGGATGTTCACCACAGAAGACAATGTTATTTGCTGATGGATAGTGAAGAAATACTTTAGCACATTAAATAACTTACTAATTGTTTCAAAGATGTTAATAATGATATTATAATCTGAAAATATCTTTATGCTGTTACTAATGTGTTTAAGATGCCTCTAATTTTACTGTAAATATTGTAATCTGTATAAGATGTCTGATTAGAAGAAATGTTCTAATTATTCTCCTACTTATGTTGAATTGCTGAATTAAAAATAGTCAATTTATGTTGAATTGAGTAGGTAAAAACATAAATAGCACCTACTGGTCCATTCCTCTACCACATTTACTATATATATATAATAAATATATATATATATATATATATTTATTCCCCCCCTGAAAAAACTTCATATTCTAAATAGTATTTTCAACAAAAATTAGTAGTCCTGGAATTTTATTAATTCATCTCTTAAAATTCTATGGGTAATAGTTTTCTTAGAAATAACAATTTTTACTAATATTAAACAAAATGCATTAAATGATAACATTGGGTATATTTTCTCCTAAAGCTATATAGGCATATTGAAATTTTAATCACTTGAATCATATAGCCGAATGACCATATTACTTCCATGACAATGTTTTGAGTTACTTCTTAATAAAAATTTTAAGTAAATTTTATTTTTTAGAATTGTTTTTGATTTACAGAATAACTGTGAAGCAAGTACAGACTATTCTAATATACTCAATTCCTTACCTTTTTTCCTCTATTATTAACATCTTACATCATCATGGTATATTCATTCTAATTAATGAACAAAAGTTAACATTTATTATTGACTAACCACATTTTATTCAGGTTTCTTTGGTTTTTACCTTTAGTCCTTTTCTGCTCCAGGATTCTCTCTAGGGTATGACATTTTTTTGAGTTGTCCTGTCTCATTAGGCTCCTCTCCTCTTGATAGTTTCTCAGATTTTTCTCACTTTTGTTCACTTTGACAGTTTTGAAACAGATTGGTCAGGTGCTTTGTAGAATGCTCGTCTGTCGAGCGTTGTCTGGTGCTTTATTCCTGATTAGACTGGAGTTATGCTTGTTTACTTTTCTTTGCCCTAACCATAATACCTAACCAATCGGGTACATGTTATTCGCGTTTTCTTACATATCTAACTTATTCTTCCAGAAATTAAATAATTAGATCTGCTTTATTTCTAGTAGTCATATAATTTTACCTTACATTTTACTTATTTGATTTGTTTTACAATGAGAAAGTGTTTTGCAACAATTTGGACAAGTCAAAATAAAGAAAAAATCAGTTTCATTTGGTGTGTGTCTTCTATGAGATATTTATTACAGATTGCTCATTAAATCATAGATGAAAAAGAGAGACATATTTCATATGTTTGCATGTTTATTTCTCAAATTGAATAGTGATGCATACAGATTATTATTTTTATGTGTAAAGCTAAATTAAATAGCCATGATGCATTCTATTACTACAGTGAATATCTACACACTTAGAATATAAATAAAGGAAGAAAACCATTATCTGTGTCGTTGAAGCTACCCGAAGAACTCTCTGTGGTTGCACACATGTTCTTGCTCTCAGAGTTAGTCACTGTTTGAATTTGTTTGTTGAGTTGCATACACTTTTCTGTGCATTTGTTACATGGTAGTTTTACTAAATAATCTATGTATTGTTTGTTTCTTTTACTCTGGATAAGTCATGTCAGATGGATATACTCTTCTCAAAAAATGTTGCTTTCTAAAATCTGCATCATATTTTAATGACAAATCCTTTGCTTAATGGTCCTATAATAGCCTCGATCAAACTGTTGATTTGTATGGCAATGCTGATTCGCATTAGGAACTACCCCTCAGTCTCACTCTCTCAAGACATGACTAGGCTCACATTTCTGGGAGACCCACAAAGGAAGTCAGGTATTGTAATTCATGAGATGGTATCATACATGCCAATAATGACCAAATTATTAACAGAAGTCTGAGAATAATCAAGAGAAACAATCTTATGGGTGCCTGCTTAGGGTGAAAGGAATGTAATGTTGGATCAGGCTGAAAATATTGACAGAAAAATGCTAAATAAACAAAAAAAAAATGGGTTCACTCTATAACCTAGCAGCTGGCAGCAGCTACAATAATCAGTTGATTGAAATTTAAACCCAAAAGTAATCTCCATTAAAATTCAGGTACTAGAACATCCTAAGAGTATCACAGAAGGAAGTATCCTCCGGTTTGAGGATACGAGAATGCTGAAGTTGATTTATTATGTTGAATCTACTCACTTATTTCTAAATAAATCCCAGAGGGTACATAATATATTCCCTTTACTCAGGCTTTGGGAAATGCGTCTATAAGGCAAGAACCATCATTTTTCAATGGCTGTGTAGTGGTCTACAGGCCAACACTGCAGAACAGTGGATACGGATATATACCCAGTTACCAATGAAAGACTGAAGTTTTGTCAATATACTATTTCAGTAGAAGTTTAAGATATTTGGTAAAGGGGTTCAGTTCAAATATTAACATTAAATAATGTTAGGATGTATTCTTCTCTAGTTAGATTTCTGTTGCTTTAATTTTTTAATTTACAAATAATCACATATATTTATGGGTTGCCTGGTGAGATTTCGATACATATAATGTATAGTGATCTAGCTATAATTTTATATTATTTAGAAAATCTCTCTGTAGATCTGATTTGGGGAGGTAATTTTCTTTTTTTCCACCTAAAAGCTGTATCTTTTCAACCTTCAGTAAATGTTTGTACCGTGGGTTGCCCACCTGCTTCCATTAAGGTAATGTTTTTATTATTTATTTTAATCCTAGCACTTGGTACTTCCATTTCTATAGGATACAGTCCTTAGAGTAGAATGTTTTGGCCTGAGCTAGTCTGCCTTGTTGTTTGTTTTTGTTTTTACTTTAATAGAATTTCAAGGCTGTGGTGCATTTTTGTTTTTGTTTTCCCAAAATGGTTGCAGCAATTCATGTTTCTACCAGTAACACAAAAGTCAGTTCTTCACTGGATGATACATTTCTGCAAACAGTTAGATTGGTGTTATGTGTATATATATATATTTATATATATATATTTGTGCGTGTGTATCATATATTGTATATATAAAATATATATATCTATAAAATATATGTGATATACACACACATGCACACACATAAATACATACACACATATATATGTGTGTGTATCTATATTTTTCACTTTTGTTTTGCTTCTCCATGACTTCAAATGAATATTGCTGTTTATATGTTTATGCTCCTTTTGGAAGTTTGATAGCTTGAGAAGCAGATTATGTTATTCTTTTTTCGTTCTATTTGAGTGTTTTTAAATGAATTATAGAAACTTTCTGTATATGTCTCTTCATTTCATGCGTGCATTTTTCTTTTATTCCCCTAACTGCACTAGGGTCTAACCAATTATTGTGGTACCTTCTTTCCTTATAAAAACTTCATTTTTGTATCACCAAATATTTTGATTTCTATTATATAACTCAAATTATTGAAATCTTTACTATTAGAATATTCCTCTGATTTCAGTTTCATATGTATTCTGCTTGAATTTTCAACAATGGTTATTTTCTCTTAGTTTGTAGAACTAATTAATATGTTTGGAATTTTTAAGTGTCAAATTTGATTACCTTTTCACTTACACACTTTATTTTATATTTGTAAAAATTACTCAAGTTTCACTTTAAGCGCTTTATGTTTTAAGATTTATGAAAAGGTTTAGTGTCCACACAATACTTGCATAATGTTATTTCCTTGACAACAGCTGCTAAAATTTAATTATGTGTTTTAAAATTATGTACATTAACTATGTTTAGTTTGAAGATTTTGACTTTAGAGCTCTATCGTAAAATTATTTTTTCTCTTTTTCAGTGACAATTATGCTTTGTCTGTCCAGCACACCTGCTGCACCACTCCTGACTTCAGAGCCTGGATGCTAAGGACACTAAACATCACTAGCAAACACAATGGAATTTATCATATCCCCTTCCGAGACTTTGTCATTATTCATACCTTTTTCTCTGTAGATAGATGTTAAGAATAATTATGTTTAATACACAATCAAACTTTTAATTATATAGTTATTTAAATAAACATATCAAGAGAAATAAAATTAAAATCACTAACTTATGTAGATGTGATCATATTATCTTTTCTCTTTTATGATGTGTTTTAACTTGTGTGATATAATTTAGTATGTACCATCATATGCCAATATCAAATATAATTTTAGTATATGTATTATTATAACGTTTTTGCCAAAACAGTTTATACAGTAACTTTTATTAGGCATTTATTATGTCTTAAATGATAAAGATGTAAATAATTGTCCATACACTTAATTATTACTTTAAGAGTAATTCTTAGATTCTGATTCCACAATCATTTTTGAGACTTTTGATATGCATTGTTAAATTTCTTCTACAAAAAGCAGTATTACAGTGGCAGCCTATGGTGGAAATAATTGCATGTTTTTGTCTACTTTATTTGGAACACCAGACTGGATGTGTTAATAATAGCTTTTAAAATCACATGCTATTGAAAGATTGTGAATAGTAAATTCACAGAAAATCAAAGTGACTTATAATTTTTTTATTTCTTCCTACAAATATAATTTTTTTTTAATTTTTTGAATTTAACCACATTTATATTTCTTGGCACAGAGTATATGTTCTATATATTTTGGATTAATGAATATTTAAGTTCTGTGATTCTGGATCTCACAAATTTTGTCTAAAAAGTAGTGACACCTTCCTTTCAAAAGAGATACTGTATTTCCTATCTGAAAATTCAATGTTTTCTTGAGTTTAAAAATCTGTATTTGAAAGACCCTCAGTTTTTATACAGTTTTGCAGTTGTACATGGGAAACAGAAGATGAGACAGACTTTTCATGTCATACAGAAACAGCTCCTGATAATCCTTTTGACCTACCTGATGCTTGATTCTGCCTTCTGGATCAGCTCACTAAGTTTTTCAAGGCAGCAGCCTGGTGCATCTTTCTGGTATGAGGCGTTTTGAAGAAATGGCTCTACTAACCACTGCAGGAGAAGCCGGCTCTCTGCTCTCATCAGTCTCTAACGGTGGGGCTCAAGATATAGTACAATACGCTACTCATTTATTCAAACCACGCTGGCTTACAAAACATAAAGCAGGTCACTCCCAAGTCACACTTGGTGAAGGTGGCTTTATATCAAAAACTGCTTAGCTCCAAGTCTTACTTTTCAGTATCTCCGATTCACACATGGGCACACAGTTTGCAGAGACTCATTTTTTTTTTCTTAATACGTAGCTAACAGCTCTGTGAGCTATGCGTGGCCATTCTGTGACCAAATAATCACTATTCATTGCTCATCCAACTGTAGTGAGGTACTTAATGACTCCCTCCTCTCTCACCTTCATGGCATTATTTCTCAGGCACTACATTTTTCCTTCGCTTTCATTCACCTTGATCACTGTGACCCAATTCATTCAAAGAATTTCTTATTCAATAAGATTTCATTACAAAGAGATGTAGCTGTGAAACCCTTGCCCTTCTCGGCAAATTTGTACTATTGCATTCCTGAAACAGCCAAGGTCTTTGGTGAGGAGTAACATGGAGGGATACATTTATGGTTTTTTTCGGTGTCATCAGCATGGTCTAATAGACTGGCTCTTGCTAAAATGAGTACATTCTTGCCTTGCAAAAGAGAGTGTTCACATCGTTATTTCCAGGCCAAAGGGAGACATTTCCAAGATAAACTGATGCTGCATTCATGGTTAGAAAAAAAAAATAATAATTTTTAAATGATAAAATGTATTATTAAAGTTTCTTCTCAATGTGTTTTTTTTTTCTTTTAGACAATGAATTAGTAAACAGAACTGCATTTTTCAAAAATAAAACAAAATAAAACGTAATAGTAATAACAAAACTCTTACTGCTATTTGGCCAGAGAATTTGTGTATTTATTTGGTTAAAAAGATTAATGATTTGAATGAGAGAGAAACTCAGATAAACATAGTAACTAGATTTTGAGACCATTTGTAGCTATAGGTAACCAAGTACTTAGTGGAAGTTTTTGTGGGCTTGTGACCATGTTTTCTTTATTTCTGTTCTTTGCCCTTCATGGAGATGAAATTATTTCATAGTCACCCTGCCAATAAGGAGCTCATCTATTAATGTCAATGGAAATTTTATTAGTGTAGATGTTATAAGCTTACATCAATACACATCATATGACAAGACACTATTTGTTACAGAACTTTCCATGCTCACAGAGTATATGTATCAAAAACAAATTTTGTGAAAGAACATTTTCTGAGAAAAGTAACATATTAAAATACTTAAGTAAATAAGGTAGGCCTCTTTACAGAGCTATTTGTAGCTTACAGTGAATATTGGGATAACAACTTGGTTACTATAAGCAATGGTTTTACACCATGTTAAATGGAATATTTTTCTTGATTACATTGAAGACCAAAAAACAAATAAATAAACTAAATTTATAACTTTTGAAGCTGAATGACATGGTAAACAAGATCAGAAATATAATATTCTTTACATTTCTGGAAAAAAACACTTTGTGTTTTGAATACCATTTAAGGATGGTCAATTGAAACTAGTACACTGCTTACATTTGAGGACATATTCCTGGTATATTAAATATTATTCAGATAAATATTAGAACTCAATAAAATACTCAATACAAAGATAAAAATAATGTTAATTTGGGATTTGAGGAGCAGTATTATTTTTTCTTATTAGAAAATAGCATTTTATTCATATCTTTCAAATATGCACACCTGTTTTTTAATTGAATAAATCATGACGAGACTAAATAAAATAAAATTACATGTTAAAATTTGTATAATGGTGAAAATTTTAAAAATATTTAAATGGTAATTTTCATGAAAAAAATAAAATTTATAATTTCAAATTAGTATATGAATGCAACAAATGTTTTTAGGGCTTTATTAATTGGCCTCCTTGTTTTATTTACTTGACCAATTATTGCAATTTTCATAAAATGTAAAAGCATTTAATAGCAATTTGCTGTAGTGTAACTGAATAAATGCCACAAATTAAACATGGGAAGCAAAAGTCAATTACTAAAAAAGGAAAAGAATAACAAATACACTTTTCTCTGAAAATCTATAAGGTTTAATTATCAATTTTTGACGAATTGGCTATAATAAATCAGTCATTTTTGAAAGCTAGAATACCGGGGTTAATAATAGTCACATTTAAATATTTTTAGTTTTGATTACAGTGGCAAGATGACTGACTACATACTGTGAGGATGAACATATGCCACCAAGGGACCAGGACACTCGGATGACTGGCACACTTCTAGCAGATCTTCAGAGGTAAGGCATTTAGAGTGGATGGAGAGAAGACACAGATGCTGGATCAAAGGGGGAGAACCCCCAAGACCACCAAGAACACTTGAATTTGAAATGAGAGATACTAAGACAACTTGTAAGAGCAGAATTCCAGCCAGTGCAGAGCCCAGAAAGTTTGATGTGGGAGTGTATGTAGTGGAACACAGCCAGGGACTCCTATCACCATAGGCACGACTTGCTCCCATAGGAGACTACCCATAATGAAAGTGTTGGACCTGAACTCTTGAGAGTGATCTTGCCCATGAGATGAGGCCAATCCAAACTGAACACTTCTCAGACTAAATAAATGGTACACATGGGAAGGAAAACTCAAGTACTTGTCCTTGAGATGAGGCCAGTCCAAAATGAGCACTCGTCTGTAGGCTGGAGTGTCCTGAAGCCCCAGACTGGCAACACCTGCTTGCAGTGCATCCTCAGGTACCTGGAGGGATACCTCCTCGGTGCCACATCATAGCTCATATGTTGGCAGACCTCATGTGACTAGCAGAGAGCACTAGCAGAGCAGTCCCCTTGGACACCAGCCTGCCATCACCCTCATCCCTCTGCAGCCACCCTGTGCCACTTTGCCCACTTGGCTTGCATGCATTAATCCACGACAACTCCCATATAAATTTGCTCATGTCAGTGTATGCAAGTTGACTTTCTCTCCCTTACCCTACCAGCACGCATGTGCAAGTACACCCTGCCATGCCACTGCTGATGGCATGACTGCACCCCACCCCTTGACTCCCACTGCACCTCCATTGCCATCAGAGTATTGATGAGCACAGAGCCTGCCAGCCACACTCCCACTGGTTCTCCATCCCTGTACCAACACTGCTCATGGTGCAAAACTAAGCACAGAGCACAACAAACTCACTCCCACCCTGAGAGGCCATGGTTGCCTGCAGGAAAGCATGCAGAAGGTACACATATTGTTGTACTCACCAGTGCTCCATATACAAGGTCAACAAGTAGGATAAAAGAGAATTTGTAAAAAGCCCATCCAAAGAATAGCAACTTCAAAGATTGAAGGAACATCAGCCCACAAAGATAAGAAAGAGCAAGTGCAAGAACTCTGACAACTCAAAAAGTGAGAGTGCCTTATTTCCTTCATAAAACTATACTAGTTGTCCAGCCAGGGTTCTTAATAAGGTGGCTGAATAGACAGGAATAAAATACAGAATATGGATATGAGCAAAGAGCATTGAGATTCAGGAGAACACTGAAACCTAATTTAAGGGAGGCAAAAATCACAATAAAATGATATGAGTCCTAACAGACAAAATAGCCAGTATAAAAAAAGAGTGATACAGGTCTGATAGACCTGTGTGAAGAAAGATAACACCACTAGAATTTTACAGTGCAATTGCAAATATTAAATGTGGAATAGATCAAGATGAGAAAAGAATCTCAGAGCTTGAAAACTAGCTTTCAGAAATAAAACAGACAAGAATAAAGAAAAAAATAAAAAATAATGAACAAAACTGCCAAGATATATGGCATCATGTAAAGAGACCAAATCTAAAACTAAAATTTAAAGCTAAATCTAAAATCTAAACCTCACTGACATCTCAGAAGAATGAAAGCAAACATATTTTCATGAGATATTATTCATGAGAACTTTCTTAACCTAGCTAGAGAGGCCAACATCCAAATTCAGGAATTGCAAAGAACCCTCACAAGATACTTCACAAGAAGGTCATCTCCAAGACACATAATTAGCAGATTTTCCGAGGTTGAAATGAAAGCAAAAACGTTAAAGGCAGCTAGAGGGAAAGGACAGGTTGCCTACAAAGGGAAGTCCATCAGACTAACAGTGAATCCCTCAAAAGAAACCTTATAAATCAGAAGAGACTGGGGATATATAATCAACATTCTTAAAGAAAATCATTTCAAGGAAGAATTGTATAACTGGCTAAATTATACTTCTTAAGTGAAGGAGAAAAAAGTTCCTTTTCAGGCAAGCAAATGCTGAGGGAATTTATTGCCGTGAGACCTGCCTTTCAAGAGTTCCTGAAAGAAACACTAACTCTGGAAAGGAAAGCCCATCACCAGCCACTACAAAAACACACTTAAGTACAAAGATCAATGACACTATAAATCAACCATACAAAAGTCTGCATAGTAGCCAGCTAACAACACAACAATGGAATCAGATCCAAACATATTAATACTAATCTTGAATGTAGATGGGCTGAATGCCCCAGTTCAAAGGCACGGAGTGGCAAGCTGGACAAAGAGCAAAGGTATGTTGTTTTCAAGAGGCCCATCTCCCATGCAATAACACTCACAGGCTCATAATAAGGGAACAGAACAAAATATGCCGAACTAATGGAAAACAGAAAAAGCAGGGGTTGCAATCTTAATTTCAGATGAAAGAGACTTTAAATCAACAAAGATCAAAAAAGAAAAAGAAGGACATTAGATAATGGTATAAGGTTACATTCAACAAGAAGCAGAAAATTAACAAAGATATTGAGGATCTGAACTCAACACTGTTACCAATGGACTTGATAGATATCTGTAGAACTCTTCAACCAGAACAATAGAACATACATTCTTCTCATGGCCGCATAGCACATACTGTAAAATTGTCCACATAATGGAATATAAAACAATCCTCATCAAATGCAAAGGAACCAAAAATATAGCAAACAAATCTCTTGGCTCACACCACAAAAAAAAAAGTTAAAAAAGAAAACAAGACAAAGAATTTTGCTCAAAATTATAGAATTACATGAATATCAACTAACCAGCTTCTTAATGACTTTTGGCTAAATAATGAAAATAAGGCAGAAGCCAAGAAGTTATTTGAAACTAAGGAGAACACAGATACAACATGACAGAATTTCTGGGACACAACTAAGGCAGTATTGAGAAAGAAATGTTTACC